GTTCTGGTTATCAATCACTTATTCACCCGCTGCCTCCTCTGCCACAGCTCTTACTGCCAAACAAAAATGATTGCTGGTCCGCTTGGCTGATGTGTGTTTATTCACAGCTGTGATTATTTATTTCTCTAGTTGGGCTTGTTTTTGTTTTCCAGAAACATTTGTTTTTTTACGAGGTGAACTCAATTAGAACTAGGGTTGTCACAGCACAAACATTTCAAAGCCAATGCTGATATTGAAGAATATTTGATGGCAGATTTGATACTGCACAATGTGTGTGTTGTTTTTTCCCCTCTTTTTTTCTTGGGCTTTACTGGACATGTTTGCAGATTTTAAAATTTCCAACGTTTTTATGATCTGAAGTTGCAAAAAGTGGAGAGGCTGAGCCTCTGCTGATATATTGTGACAGTTTGGCAAAGAGCTTAGTTTATATACAAATAAGTATCTTACCTGATTATTTTTTATAGAAACATTTATATGGCAGCATCTGCGATTTAGAGAACTTATAATCACAATTGTAGCGTTTCCTGTTGCTCAGGCCACCTCTTTAAAAAAAGTTTATGCTTTCTAATATAGAGTTTAATATTTTTTTTATCCTTCCATCTATTTTATTGCTCTTATCCATCAGTTGATGCTGATCTCCATCAGTGCATAGGCAAACGGCGAGGAACATCCTAGACAGATTGCTGCTTCTTTGCAGGGTAGAGACATCCAACCGCGCACACTTACTCACACCTATGGCCAATCTGGAGATGCCAATTCAACAGTCACGTATTTTTTGGACTGTGGGAGGAAGCCAGACTACCCAGAGAGACCTCAGGGATGCACGCACCCATGCACAAAGACCCTCGGCCAAGAATCAAAGCCAGGATATTCTTGAAGTGCCACAGACTGCTCTAAGATTAGTTAGTAAACTCATGTTTTTATAAGTTCAAACTAGTTAATAATTAAGGTTTGGTTACTATTATTCATAACTCAAGGGTATTGTTTACTATGCCTTAAACAAGTGTTTACACCATTTTGTAATTTTCCCCATGAATTTAAAGATATTTCAAAGTTTAGTGTCATTAAAACAGCTTATTGTTCAATTTTTAAGTGGAAATTAAAACAGTTAATTGTTCATAGCAACCCTTTTAGAAATAAGAATCTGAAAAGTGTAATCTGTATCTGGTAGGGGTGGGAGTATTTTAACTACTTTATGAGCTGATCCCAAAGCCAAAGATTACGATGCCACAGTAAATCTGACAATCCCTCTCAGCCCCCATTTCTCCCACACCCACCCAACTTTATCCCCATGCACCTTTTCCTACAACAAAATACACGGATTAAAAGCCTCAGACGAAAGAAAAACATTGGTTACTGAATACATGAAAGCAAATCTTTGCCAAGAGCCCTGAAGAATTTTGGACCTCTGCACATTCAGAGCTCACAAACAGCTGACCATATTCATGAGTTAATGAGTACAAGATCTCTGGCACCTGGAACTACTCATGAAACTAAAGATTTGGTGATGAATGCCGGTTCTCTGCCCGATTTCTGTAAAACCTATTAATATTTAGACTGGCAGGATTTTTCTCTTGCTAAGAAACATGAATTATTACTATAATAATTTAGTTTAACTTTTAAAATTGTCCATGTTTAAATCCTGATGCATGAAAAAAACCATCTGCCAAACTGAGCTTGGTGTGTTAAAGATTGCAAAGACCTAAAATGTGAAGGACATTGGTCACTAAGGATAGGATTATCTATCTAAACCATCCTGAATATATTTGTCATCACTGTTCAGCTGTAATAAAAAAACACGGCACTGCCTTACGTCCTGTGCAGCAGTATTTCCTGGATTTATCCTATACTTTAGAGTGGCATCATTTCTCAGGTAATAATGCTCTAGTTTCCCTCTTGTTGATGCTCTTATTCTCCGTTATTCTTACATGGACGCTTGTGCACAGTATTTCTAGTAAATAAAAGACATCTGGCTTTATAAACACTTAGATATAACATGCTATTCGTTGACTGAATTTCACATGAATAAATAAGAACTTATACAAATGGTTAAAGTAGAAACATTTAACCCCTTTTGAGCTGAACAGGAGACATCTTGAATGCAAAAGTTCCAAAAAGGATATTTAGCTCTGCGTTAGTTCGATCTGTCTTTATATCATCTCTGAATAGCTTCCACGTCTCTCCTGATCTTGATGTCGACTTATCCATTCTTTTGCAGTGCTGCTTGCATCCTCCACCGTGATCCTAGCTACCTTGGTCAGCTGAAGCCTCTACCCGTCATGGCACTGTTTCCCCAGTGCGCTTATTCAAACTTCTGCTGTGCTTCTTCGCTCTCCTCTTGAGCTGCCTTATCTCCCCAGTGCTGGGCTACTGGGGCTGCTACTGTCTACTCCTCTGGTTCCTTAGCTACAGAGGACCACACTGCTGGCCACTGTTCTCACACTGATTCCCTGCTGATTCTTTCAGAGCTCAGAGTCTGAGCTTAGAGGCTGTCTCCTCTTCCCTCTGTGGTACTTGTGATTCGTCACCTGTGTTTGGGAATTCTGACTAAACCAAACATGGAGCAAACCCAGGAGAAAGGTGTCTGAGTCCGCTCAGAAAAAAACCTCAACAACACAGTCTGTCTTCATAATAACCAAACGGTTGCTGATCGTGGCCGATCACGTGAAAATAAGCGGAGGGGTGGTCTCAAGGGAGAGGCATGGTTGTGTATGTTCAGAAATATAGCTTGCTGGAACCATTTTTCTAAGGTCTCCTAGGGCACCTTTAAACATTTGGTAGAAGTATGTTTGCAAAGTTATAGAGGTCTGTAATAAATCGGTATCAGTTTGATGAAAATGAACATGAAACAGAAGAAAATATCAATATTTCATTCTCATATCCCTTTTCCACAATGTTGATACGTTCCAAGGGGGTTTCACACAGAGCAACAGGTAGATAACCCCTGAGGGCAGCATCTAATGGCTCAGCAGCAAAAGCCTCATCAGTATTCCCTACATCCCATGTATTGATTTTTGTGCAGTGTGAGTAACGACATGATGCTCTATTTTACTCCCATTGATTACCTTCTGATCAGACGTGTCTCCCCTCCTTCTCTTAAGGAGGCTCTTTTCCTTTTGTGTGTAACAGAGGGGGGCTATCAGATAAGCAGTAGGGACCGCTTTTTGGCTGGACTTTGAAATAAATGAGCTCAAAGAGGCAGAGTAACAAGAACAGTTTGTAAAAGAATTCATAAAGCTGAGAGTAAATTTAGTGTGCTGAACTGGGAAACTGGACAGCTAGTTCGACATTACCAAATCGAAACACAGAGGCTAACCACTTGAACAGCTGTTTTAATGTAACTCTGCACAGAAAACCAATTAACCACACAGATTATAGAGCTTTAGTTTGTTTAGCATCAGGCTTTGCTTGAGTTGGACAATTTTCTTCAACTTCCAGCTCTTCGTTTGACTGCCTGTAGTTTAGGTGAAGCTGACTACATCAAGCATTCTCCTCTGCTCACATGGGTTATAGAAAAGTTCTTACTGATTACTAAACATAGAAATGGCTTCGCAAGGATTTGTTATAAACAGCTCCACATTTAGTTCCCCTGATAAGAGACAGCTACTTCGGCAGCCCAGAGGTGTTTGTTTGCATGCCAAACCTTTTTAAGTGCATGTTTTCATCATGCTTTCCCAGTTACTGGGTGCAGTTTGGTCTGTGCAGTCATCCCTTTCTCTCCCCCAAGGATCTCCACAGATGTTGCCAGCTGGTGTCCATTATGTTGCAGGTGTGTGTGTGTGTGTGTGCGCAAGCCCAATTTCTGGAATAGATACTTGCAAAACTATTCCTAACTAGAACCTTTTTTTTTTTTTTTTTTTTTTTACATATTGCCATGTTACATCCTCAAACTTTTGTGCTTTAATGGGATTTGCTGTGATAGACCAACGTAAAACATACACATGACATGTAAAGAGAGGAAAACGATGTTTAAAATTTGTATAATTGTACATTAAGAAATGTCCTTGGCACATAAGTGATCAAACGTTATCATGAAGACTAAGACGAACAGCAGACAGAGGATGATATCCCAACCTCTGAGCTTCTGATAGAACAATGCTCGTCCCATCATCTGTAAACGGTGCAGCTGCAGACCTAAAAACAAGGTGATGAGTAACTAGGGAAATGGTTAAGCATCACATGCAGATTCTAGTGAAATTGACCTAAAAGATGTGTGGAAGGTAGCCCACAGTGTCAATCACCTTGTTGTGTTGGCAGCATCATGTGGAAAAAGCTATCTGAAATTAAAATAATCTGTTTGTAAGTTGGAAAATATTTAATTTATTCTGCCAGTATCATAATTAACTCCAGTCAATGCGAAATAAAACTAAAAGAGCTAAATAGATTAATTTGTCACACTTTAGGTCTGCAGTTATGCAAAATGTTTAAACACATTCATTTCCCCTCTAATTCTCACTTAAACACTGCTTTGTGTTATTCTACCAGATAGAATCCATATTTATGCTAAAAGTGCTAAAAAAAACCTGTTGGATTAGCAACGTGTTACATACTTTCCAAGCATAAGTCATCTCCATTGTGGGGCTGGAAAAGGGAGATGTCTTTACTTGTTTGTCTGGAAATGATCGGTGCATCGACAGAGACGTTTGTGATTAGAGCGCTCTGTGGTTGCTCGAAAGCAAACACTACTTCTGACTAAATGCAAGTCTGTAACAAATGAGGCCAACCCTGTAGTAATCAGATTAGAGAACCTTACCGACATGCTCCCAATGTTCCACCTTGTGATCCTGAGCATTTATTTTATTACAGCCATGCTTTAATGAGATTAGTCTAGAAACAGTGATGCACCGCTAAGAACAGACTGTGCAAATCGCTGCAGCAGCTCCCTCTGTGTTTGTTCACCTTTGTTTGCTGTCATGCAACTGTATTAATGCATCGCAAGGGTCACCTCATGGTTCCACTGCAAGAGTAATCCATGTTTGTGCCTCGAATCCTCTCCACAGGAAACCAAGAATAAACTCCCAGCTGGCCGCTCAGCAGTCAGCTCAGCAGTACACGATGCCTCCCCCACCCAAGAAGGATCGGAGAGAGAGGAGCGAGCGCACGGACAAGGAACGTCCACACAGCGAAGGAGAAAGAGCCGGCCCCGAAGGACGCCCTGAGGGAGAACGCCCAGAGAGAGTCGGGCCAGAGGGAGAAATTCCTGAGAAGGACAAGAGTGAGAAGGAGCAGCCCATCAAAGACAAACCCGACAGGGAAAAGGAGATCACCCCAGCTGTCACAAAGAAACCCAGCAGCAAAAAGACCAAGTCAGTGTCAGAATCGCTTCTTGCTTGTGCCTGGAGGTTTTCTGTAATATCCTAACCCTCGCCCGTTCTCCCTTTCCTGCAGACCCAAATCAGACAGCCATCAGAGTTCACCAAGTGACAAACAGAGCATACAGTCTGGGAAATCAGCAACCAAGTCTAACAAGAACTCCCATATTTCCAGGTCAGTAGATGTCCTCTCTTACGCTGCATTTTTCTGACACAACACACGACTCGCATCACTTTTTGATAATGCTAACTCATCTAGTAAAGTTGTGGAAAACCTCAAATGAATCACAATTGATCTTTTACACCAAACGCCCACTCTGTTTTTCATGCACTTGTTCTGACTCTTCATGTGTCACCCAGTACAGCCTGCGTAACGCTGGTAAGCTCCCTCTCATGCTCTGAGACTAGACGTGCTCCGGTTAGATTTTATGGCTGATTTAGAAAAGCTTTTCTCATTTCCATTAAAAGAAAAATACCATAAATTACATAAAACATAGACAGTACTCCAAAACATTAAGCAGAAATAAGGAGACAATCTCATTTACTTAAATAGCAGAAATAGTGAAGTTGCCATAACTCGGGTTTCTATTTGTTTCTCAGAAAGAACATACTTGAGGGTTAAAAAGCTCAGGTTTGATGCAGGATATGTTAAATTCTTCAAACTATTCATTAATCGTAAATATAATGAATCTTTTCTGTGTTTGTTTTTGTTTTGTTTTGTGTAATCTGGACATTTGTTTTACCATGATGCCAGTGTGTATGTTTGAGAGAACAAACTCATGTCTCAAATGGAAGACAGCTGGAATTTAGTGGTGACATTCCAAAATGTCTTTAGCATCTCACCTTTTAGTGGGTCACACTGAGCACCAGTCTGTGTGCACTTCCTGTTCAATGGGTAGACCTCTACTGTACGTTTTCCAAGGGCTGTCAGCATTTCTCAATCCAGCCGCTCCCAAGCCCAGTAGACTAGGAATAAAACTGAGAATTTTACCTGCCTAATTAAACTTCTACCATGCCTCTGTAGAAAATAGTTTTTTTCTAGAAGCTTCTTATACCGAGTAGTTGTTTGTTGGTATTTATGTGCATGTGTGGCTGATTTTTTGTTTTGTAAATCTTGTTTTAATAATTTTTTTGGATTTTAAATCTGACCTGCAAACAGACTTTAGATGTTAATTAGTTTAAAGCTTTAAATTGTTTGGTTTCTTATACGGTTACACCTCAGTGTTTCCAACAGACTATTGACCTTTAAAAAACTTAACCACTAAAGGGTTTTATTGGTTGATCTGTTAGAGCTTTGGTAAAACATGACTGGTGGTCGGGTTCCACTCATCAGCCGATTTCACTGTAAAACTCTTGTTTGTAAATTAGTCTTTTTTTAAAGTGTATTTCTTTTTCGTTTTTTCTGTTTGCACTCAGGCCCAAACTGAAGAATATCGACCGAAGTACCGCCCAACAGTTGGCCATCACCGTAGGTAACGTGACGGTGATCATAACAGACTTTAAGGAGAAGACCCGCTCCTCATCCACATCTTCGTCCACCATCACATCCAGCGCAGGCTCTGAACAGCAGCATCAGAGCTCTGGCTCCGAGAGCATGGACAAGGGCTCGTCACGCGCCTCCACCCCTAAAGGGGATCTCTCGGTGGGGCACGACGAGTCATTCTGAGCGCCATTGTTTGTTTTAGTTTTTTTTTTTTTTTTTTTGGCTGTCGTTGTTTAACCCCATTCCCTTCCAATTCTTCACTCCCCTCTCCTCTCCGCCCATATTTCTGGACACTGTGGATCCCATGGGGGGGAAGAGTTGTCACCCTTTGCCATCGATGCCCTGCCCTTCATTCCATGTCCTCCCCGTGATGCTGAGCAGAGCTGGCCGGATTAGAGACACAGCTGGCACCTTTTTAGGGGAGCACACTCCCTATGTAGTCTTGCCGAGGAGAGCGGTGCTAAAGACCCTACACCCCCCCCCCCTTACAGTAGCATCCAGACACTTGTACGTATTGTTTTATATTTGTATGTGGATGTGAGACCAAGTCAACCTTTTTTTTCTGTTTTTGTAAAGAAGAAATCTCCGCTGGGCACAATAACGCGCCATAGGAATTAACTATTATTCCCCTTATTTATTTCCTGTTGCACCTGTATACTTTGATATTTTTTTCTTCTTCTCTTTAAGTTCCGGCTTTGCAGTGTAGCTCTGCTGATTGATCGTTCCTTCAGTGTTTTCACTACAATGAAAATGTTAGGATAACCTACATGCACACACACTGGTGCTAGATACACTGTGAAGTGATTCTGCAGATTGGGGACTGCCCATTTTCTCCATGGGACAAAGTTCTTCTGAATCAAATTCTGCTTCATGTTCCTCGATGACACTGCTTGACCTCCTCCAGATCGGACCTTTTTTCCTCTCCAACCGGCTCCACTCTGATTTCGTATGCTCTCGCAGGTTGTACAGTCCCTCCCTGTCCTTTAACTGTACAGTGTAGGCTGTTGTGTAAAACACTAAAAGCTGTCCATGTTCTGCATTCCATGCTTCAAATGTTGAGTTTTCCAGGCTGCAGTTGGGAGCTGTCCTCTCAGCTTGGCAGCCATAGTTTTCGTTTTTTTTTCTTCAACGTTCTTATTCTCTGTGACTGAAGGATGCAGTTCTGCTTGGTGAAACCAAGTCGCTCTGTAAAAAAAAACAAAAAAAAACACACACCTTGTGTCAAACTGTTCAACATTTTTTGTTGTTGTGTTCCTGAAGACAATGTTGAATCTTCGTTCTCTCCACACAGAAAATGCATGCAACGAAAATGACAAATTTTCAAAGATTTGACAATTCAATTGACTTGTTTTTATATGTATTAATTGAAAGACTCCTGTCACTGAAGGCAAAATATTACAGTACTTATTAGAATGCAATTGAAATTTTTATAACAGCGAGGCTTATGTAAGGGTTTTAATTAACTTTCACCTTAGCTGAGAATAGACCAACATAATTTCCTTTAAATGTAAGAAATTGTATAAAGAATAAATGTGTATATGATATCTTAGTTTTATTTATTGAAGGACCAAAGGAATTTCTTAATGACGTGATACATAGACAGATGGATAACAATTTGAAATGCAATTATCTAATGTGTGAGATGAAAAACAGTTTAAATAAAGTTTAATATAATCCATGTAAATGGTGTTCTTATTGTACACTCAGTGTCTCTGTGGGTGGCTAAATCAGGGCACAGGCTGCTGTACTGTGAGCGGAGTCTGAGTGCGTGGGGTGGGGGGGTGGCTAAAAGGAGCTCTGCCTCCAAGACTTTGGCCTCAGTAAAATAATAAAAAGTCAAATAAAACCTTCACTGCCGGACTAGCACAGTACAGCAGAGGTACCTCCTCCAACAGAGCAACAAAAATCACTTTAGCTGAAGGGAGGAGGGGGGGGCGGCTGCTAACAGCCTTCACTCCTCCCTTCCCAGGCACCATAGAAAGGAGGGTGGAATCTGTTTTAGCAGATTCACACGTAGGGACGATAATCATGTTGTGAGCAATGTTTTAAGTCCAGGAGTTATGCGTTAACCTTTCATTTAGTTTCCCCTCCATTTGAGCTCCGGCTCATTAGTTGCTTTCTGGCTTACAGATCCAGAATCAGTGTTAGACGCTGAGGAAAGGGAACCGAGCTGCAGAATAAGAGAATGAGGGGAGAATTGAACCCAGTCTTATCTAAAGCAGCAAGCCGTCTCCTCCTCCCTGCCTGTGCTCTACGTTCACAGGTCTGCAGAGCTGTCATTGTTCAATTATTAACAGAAGGCCATTTGTTGGGGATATGAATTATTGCTTGTAAATAGAATTTTAAGAAGGTGCAAAGGTAAACACTAGAGTAATGACGTCAGAGCTGAGGTCTTTTATTATTGTTTTTTTTTTTTTTTCCCTAAACTTTTTTTTCCTCCCGCGCAAGCAGTTCTGTTCTTGTGTGCGACCAGTAACCTTAATTTACTGTGTAAAGATGGTTACATTATTTAGCTTTGTTTGTTCAGAGACCCAAATGGTAGAATGCTTGTTTTATTTACTATATAACCTTAAACGTGAACTTCCAGTTAAGTGTATTATACAAACAAATTTTCTTCCTATAACAATGTCTTGTACAATGCTTTTAAAGTTAATGCTTGGTTTAAAAAGGAAAAAAAAAAGCGACATAGATAAACATTTAGGGACAGTTCAAGTATCCATTGTTTGTTTAATCCAGTTTCCTTCCTTTTGTTTGACTTCCAGCTGATGTGTCATTGTTTCTTTGTGAAATGGTCACCTTATGTTCCTGGTGTGGAAATGTGTACGCAGCATTTTCAGCAGATCACGGCTCCTCATCTAGCTAATGATGTTGACTAATACATGTTTCTGGCATGTGCACGACTTTGCGCTTCTAGGCTAACCTGATCATTTTCCTCCGCTTCAGATAGAAATGTCTATTTATGAATTTTGCTTGTAGTTTTTCACAAATAAAACTGTCAAAGTTATCTGTCCTCTGACTGCCTCTTGCCTCTCATTGTTACCTCTCATATTGCAGGTATGGAAAGAGTTTTCTAAACATCAGGTTAATCGTGATTAATCAATTATTGAAATAATTGTCAATTAATTTAGTAATAAACTGGTGTATAGACACTCTAAAACATGCCTTTAGCTGACAGAGCAATCCATCTTTAGCACCAATTAAACCAACATTGGAAAATAAGATTTCTTTTTAAAAAACATGTTTGTCAATATGCTCTATCCAGAACTCGAGTGGAAAAATTTAGGTTTCACCTGGTTTAATTTGATAAAAAATCTTCTTTAAGGAACCTTCTGCAATAGTTGCAGCCCTAAATCAGGTTCTCATTGAGGATAATAAGTCAATATTATGCATTTGGATGAGTTTTTTTGCTCAGATCACCGTCATTGCTGCACTGGGTTTTCCCAAAAAAATCCCAGCAAGTGTTTGATAAAGAGATGGTTAACTTCTTTTAGTAGAACAACACTGCAAAAACAATTTAGAAATAAGTCAAAATGTCTTAAGTTTGTTACCCTTAATTTGAGCAGATAAATAAGATAATTTGCTAATGGAGTTAGTTTTTTACTATTACCAATTCAACTTTTTTTTTTCTATTTTAGCTGTAAATTGTTGTGTTTGATTGGCAGGGTGTCTCCCTTACCCCCTCAATTCAAGAAAAATGCATTTTAAGAAAAAAAAACACTTATTTAGATTTCAAATTCAAGTAATTTCCCTCTTGGATCATTAAAGTATTTCTGAATTTCTTGCAGTGAACTTGAAGACAAGATTTTTCTGTGATATCAGTGATCCGCATTTTTTACAATTAAATTCTTAAATAAGATTTTTAAATTTCTAAGTAATATTTCTACAGCTTTATCTTTTGATGTATATTTTCTTAAATGTGCATTAGATCATTTTTGTTTATTGTTGCAAAAAACACAGTTTCTAAAAGGATAGTTTGATTAAAATGCCTTCTACAAAGGAAACTTTAAAAACTTCCTAACAGAAAAGTTTAGATAGTAACCCTGCTGTTTCTTATATTTGAATGTTTTTATATATTTTGTTTTTTCAAAATTATCAGCTTTGATATGTTGACTTTAAATTTCCTTTTTTTTCTTCAGGTAGAGTTTTTCCAATACCTTTTACAGATTTACTTCAAGCCCAATACGAATGCTTGCTCTTGACCAATAAAAGTGTCATCACTCCTCACTATAGAGGAAAGCCCGCTCCCAGAAGGAACGAGAATTTGACCTGTGAAACACAATTTGAAAAGAATGCAGTTTGTTAAAACTCTATCTGAAAAAGAGAAATTTGGCATAGTAAAAATCTGTTGTTTTTTGTTAGTTTTTTTTTTTAAGGGAAAAAATTAGTGCTGCACGGGGGAGCAGTGGGTAGAACGGTTGTCTTGCAGCAAGAAGGAAAAATTGAAATCTGACAAACAGCATACTTATTCTCAAAAAACAAAAAATTTCCAAAGGTTTTCCTGAATTGCATTTCTTTGTCTTAAAATTTCCGTTTAAAAAATGTGCACTTTATCAGATTTTAATTTAAAAACCTTGTTCTTTGCTGCAATAATAATGAAGCAGAAATTACTTCATAAATGTGCAGCATATAGGATAATGAACTTTGGGCTTTTCAGCAACTTTTTTACCAAATAATCCAGGGCTTGAGCGTCAATATTGGGACCTTTGCTACATGTCTTAGTACTTTCAATAAAAGCCACAATTGCCAAAAATGAATAATCTGACGGGGAAACAGAATTATGTCTTCTACTGTAAAAACTCTCCTGAGAATTTTACATGAATCATCTACTCTATATAAATATGTAAACTGAAAGTCATCCTTTTTTGCTGTCCTTCAGCACTGCGGTTTTAAACCAGGAGCTGCTTCATGTTTTGATCTCAGTAAATGTTCTTCTGATGAATATTATTAGTGGGAATTTACCTCCTAATTTCAGTATTTATGTCAGATTTTGTGTAGACGGCTCCCCAAAGCAAAAAGTTCAGAAGTTCATAAATATCATATCGGAGATATCTAATGGCATTTTTGATGTTCTTACTTTCAGCCTCCCAGACAATGAATTTAAATGTCTACTGAATAAAGGTGCTCAGGGGAATATTAGTTTACACCAAGAGATATTGAATAATTGCATTTAACATAACCCTCTAAAACTCCTTTAGATAATGTGAGGGGTCTATAGATTTGACCTCCTATGGATTGGGATGTTTCAGGCTGCCTCTGCGGAGGGACTCCCTCTCACTTTCTTTAACAGTTTCCCTTCCTCACAGGCAAAGTTTCAGAAGCTTTTATGGGCAAGTATATCAAATGTGCACAAAGAGCCAGTCTTCCTCATAACTTCTATCAGACCCTCTGAATATCAGCTTCTGGATCTGGTCCTGATTGGATCCGTTCTGTCATGTTCTGAAGGTTTACCACAGTTAGTTT